CAGAAGTTACGGTTGTGGTTAGTATCCATGATTTTTCACGTTTCGAACGTAAATGACCTTTTTTTGATTGTAAAAGAAAGGTTGTGAGTAAGAGGGAAGAAGATATTAGGATAATATTTAGCGTAAGAGAGTGGACCATATTGTAGGTAAAGCTGATGCAGGAAGATAAATCAAGAATTGAGTTAAGGAGTCGTTAGTCGTTAAATATAGGTCGTTTAAAGAGCGTGGCAGTTTGAGTGTTATCGTTATAGAATTCAAAATAAAGTTATTAAACAAATTTCAATTATTCACTTCTTTTTTATACATAAAATTTATGAATATAAAAATAGCAACAATATGTTAAGTAATTCATTAGGGAATTGTAGGAGATAAAGAAGCATAATTAGCTAGTTTAGTCACTCAAATGTGTAATTTATAATTATTATAAAAAAATTACAGTAGAATGCTCTTAACATTACATTGTTAAAAAATATTATATATTGTCAAACGAAGGTATGATAGATTGTTGGTGCGACAATTAATTTAAAATTGATTGGTCACACGACAATATGATTACTTCACATAGATCTTTCAAGTGTTCCTATTCTTGCTTTTTATTTGTTAAGCGTGTGATCGATAATATAAAGAAATTTATTATGTATAAATTAACAAAATAATGTGATTGTAGAATTTTTGTTTGGAGTAATAACGATAAGATTTCGAAGTACATTCTGTGAATATCGATATCTATATCAGATATAAAATTAGATTCAACCTAAACTAGTTTAGATGATCAAACCATCTCAAACAATTCGGTATGATTTTAATTTTATCTATTGCTTTCAATTTGACAACCTCTATTACCAAAGGTTGATCTTTAGGTCTAGATTTGATTATTAATAGATACGGCCCAAAAATATCGGAAGGGGAATTTTCGAAACGAACGGTTTTCCCGACACCTATCGCTATCCAACACTAACTCTAAATCAGGCTAACCCTAACCCTAAACTAAGGATAGTAAAATGTTTTTCATTACGTAATTAAAAACAGGTGATGATTATGATCTGAATATATTCTAAACCCAGATTTAACTATTCGGACTTTAATAATTAATTATCACTTGTATTTAAAACGGTGAAAAATGCAAAACCAACTTTAGTTGTCGGGTGTCACCGTTGCTAAACAAATAAAGAACCGTGTATAGAAAAACATAGTGTTACGGCACGGGAGAAATTCAAAGAAACTTGGGCCAATTTAGTCAGTTCCATGAACATTAGATGAGTGAGTTTACTTTAAAAGAATGGTAAGTTAATTATAGTTGGAAGAACAATTTATTATAATGAGAGACTTTGCTAATTCACTATTTGATTAAAATATTGTGAAACACTAGTTATCGTTCTTTATCCAGAGACGATTCAATTTCGGGTGGAAAAATTAATACAAGAAAATGAAAACGTAGTAATGAGACCCAAACTAGTTTCGGTAAATATCGGCATTTCGGCAGTTTTTTATTCGGTTTAGGACATTTGCCGAAATCCCAAACCTATGCCGAAATCCTAAATATATGCCGAAATCTTAAATATAAGTAATGACAGAATATAGTGTGCAAAATTCTAATCTAATGATTATTTTTTTTTTAAATATTACTTTACTTTTATATTAAATATACACAATATCGCAGAGACTTCGATGAGTTCTACTGATCAATCTACAAATTTTCAAAAGAAGGCATCTAAGAGAAAAACATCTAAAAAAGGATGACATCCGTTATCGCATGTCTGAAATTATTTTTAATAAGGCAAAATAAAAATAAATTTCAGAATAATGGATAACTTAATACAAAAAAAAAAAAAATTTACTATGTATTTCGGAGTTTTAAAATTCTGTAAGTGTGAGATTAGTTTGGGACTTAATTACGGCATAAGTCTCAACTAGTTTTGCCAGTTCGCATACGGCATATGCTGAAACTACCAGGTTTGGGTCTCATCACTAGCCATAAATTCGTAATGGAAAATAAATACTCAAAACAATATATATATTATAGTAAAAAAATACATACTGTATGCGTGAACGTAGTAATTTAATTAATTAATTAATGCACACGCGAAATAGAGATATAGTTGAAGATTACCAAAATTTTGCATACCTAGCTAGCATGTCATGATGTTTAAAATATTAGACATGCCTTTATAATTAAAATACAAAATTATATTTATCGTTATGTAATGGTTAAATAAAATAGCTGTATGGTACATATGTCGAATTAATTTATGCAAGATACTTGGATATTAACATGTGAAATTTTTGATTTACGTATACTTTTTGAATTTAATATATTGAAAATTGAATATAAATAAAAAAATATAACGATAAGTTATATAATTACTAGAATTTTAATCCCATTTCGATATCAATTACCAGCATTATTTATTCCATTAGCATCACCCATATCAGCAGATTTTTGATAATAAACGAATGCCTTATGTTCATCCTTTTCAATTTCAATTCCACGTTGATAATGTATCCAAAATGGTTGAATTCATAGAATGGTTAAATTTATTAAATATCAATAAGTTAGGTACGCAACTAGGTAGGGATAAAAATGTTTTAAATTTTAACCTTGATTTTAAATTACGCTTATTTAATTTTTAATATCGATATGTTTTTAATATACCATGGCTCAATCATCCTATTAGTTGTCAAATCTAAGAATACGGGCGATATTTGAACCTGAAATTAGTGGTAATTTCAGCTTCAAAAAATTTTTTCTTTAAATGATTTAACCCGATATTGATCACGTGTATCAGGTTAATCATGTGCATTTTTGCATTTTGCCCTTTACTAGGAGTGCAAACCTTAATTCCGAAGACCTCTGTGAAGCACTCATAATTCGCCTTTAATAAAATATATAATAGTGCTAAGTGTTAAAAGTTGGTCTTATTCTACTTAATAAAAAAATTTATTAATTTTTATATAAATTAGTCATATATGACTAATAATATTTTTTTAAGCAACTTTTTTAAGAATTCCGAGGGACTAATGTGAGTTATGTATAAAATTTCATAAAATATAGTTGGTTCGAATTATTCAAACATATTACAGTATTAGTAGTTAGTTAAACAAAATAGTATACATTATGAACTAAAGAAAGTAAACATGGTCAATAAAAAGATACCTAATCAAAATATAATAAATTATCTGTATTAGAATTTCGGTTCATGATCATCCGCTCCAATAAAATTTTGTTCAGTAACCATCTGTTGCATTCATTATTATTTAAATTATTTGTTACACCATATCGGTATCTGGCTTTTTGGTAAAATATTTCAACATTTAAGCTGATGCGTGATGCACTTTCAGTATTTTCATTGAGTGTAATTCGTTTTGTTCGTCACACTACACAAAACCAAATTCCATTTTGTCGATGTACGACTATAAGATAATATATTAAGCAATTTTAATTCGTTTGTAATTACATAATAGGAAATAAAGCAATTAAAAGTAACTTTTTTAATAACAAAAAAAATTCAGTGATCTTTAATGCTACAAACAGACAAGATGTACTTTATATAATATACATGAAAGTTGACATGTATTATTACATTATTCGAATTCATGATGGAAATTATACAAATATGTGTGTTGAGGTATTCGAAGAGGTTTCACCCTTTCCTTCAACTTCACCTTTTTATGTCTATTTTTTTTTTAAAAAAAAAAAAATAAGTGCTTTTCAAAAAAAAAAAAAAAATCACCGGTTTTTTTGAATAGTATAGGAAGTTATAAGGGTTTAAACGGGAGTACATGATACAAAATTTACTAAAGAGAAAAGAAATTTGATTAATAATTTATTATAATATTATATTTTATATCCAATTTAGATTATACTTAATATTACTCGAATAATATATATTTTATTTTTATTTTTTCTCTTGTTATTCTTTTTATATATAATTTCTCGTTGTTGTTATATATAAATTAAAGAACCATTGATCATCTCTCTCCACATAAAGAAAAAAAAAAAAAAAAAAAAGAGTCTAACACTGCAAAAGAATAAATAATAAAGAATGTATAAAATTCGACGAAGCAAAATTTCAAATCTAGCATTTGTGGCTTGTGTAATGACAATCGGTTGTTTTGGATCGCGGGTAGTTGACGCACAAAATGTTAATCCTGATAATACTACAAATGTTAATGTTATCAACTATCCTGATAAAACTAGTAAGTAAAACACCATTGATTATATATTTTTATTCATTTATTTATTTATTGATATATAATTATATAATAATTAATAATTGTACGTAGCTTACTCAACAGCATTATCACTAGCCGATGTGTTATTATCCGTAATTCTTATTGCAACTGGAACATTAATTGGTTTTGCACACATCAGATTTATTAGAATTTCTGGATCTATCATTGGGTTTTATACTTTAGGTGAGTTTTTTTTTATAAATTTTTTGATTTTTTCGTCCTATTATTCACAATCACGTGATCACATTAAAGGCTGCCTAGCATGGGTATCCATGCATAATTCGGAGCCAGTATATAGTGATTATAGAAATTTGATAGTTCCAATTATTATCGGATCTTTAGGCGCTATGTTATTTTTGTATTTCGATCAAATGGGCGTTTACTTTGTCGGAAGTAAGTTTAAATAAAACATTTATTTCTTTTGATTTTACACGTGATCTAAGTATCAAATTTTTTTAGTATTGGGAGGATGCGCGTTTGGCATTACAACATTATCAGTTAAAAGTAAGATTATTAAAAGTTTAATACTGAGATTATTTAGGAATTATTCTTTTATAATTATGTTTACACGTTTTCTTTTTTTATAGACAATGGACTTTTCGAATCATACCAACTCCGTCTTATCTATTTGGTAATATTCGCTATAATTGGGTTAGGAATCATGTGTATTTACTGTCCAATTAGAAGAATTTGGCCTTTGGTAATCAATATCTTTATGTAATTTAATTTTTTTCCTTAATTTTCATTCCGTTTACCTTCCATTTCGTTCTTTCCTTAAAAAGTGTCTATCATCATCACTCTGTGGCTCGTATGCAATAATTTTAGGGATCGATCAAATATTAAGATCCGGATTTACAACGGCTCCAGTCGTTTATTTAGATATAAATCAAATACCTGCTAATTTGTTGAAATATAGCGTTAGTGGGAAAGTCTATGGGTTATTAGGCGGTGTTTTTGTATTGGCGTAAGTTTTTGTTTTTTTATATATCTAATATACACAACACGTATCCCGCTAATACCTAGGGATGGTATGTTAGTCTGGTCTAAACCAATAGACCACAATTAGTCTTAAGACTAGTTCAGGACTGAAAAAAATTAGTCTGCTCTTTAGTCTTAAGACCAGTTTAAACAAGTTGATTATAAGATTATAGTCTATTAAAAACTGGACCAAAATAGGCCAGACCAGGATAACATCATTACTAATTCTTTTTCATAAATCTAACCTTATATATATATATATATTTAAATAGTGCGATAGGATTCTATCTACAATGGAAGATAATACCTCCCATAATGCCACCAGGTCAAACGAGTGGTAACGGTCCACCGGCAATGAGGGATGATTTAGAAAAAATAGTGTATGAAATGAATCCTTCTATACGTCAATCGATACGAATTAGTAAGCAATTTGACATTAGAGATGTGGATCGATTAACTACTGTCGACACTGGATATTCTGAGAAAGGTGATATTGAAGCTCCGGAAATAATAAATAACTCTAGGTATATCGAAAATAATTGTGTAAAAAGTCCTAAACCTGATGATAACGATGATAGTTATATAAGCAAGGAACCAGTTCAATATATTGAAAGAAACGATGAAAAAGGTAGTAAACCTACAAATAGTACTAGTAACATTGAAAATGTCTGTGCAGTAATTAAAGAAGAAAATGATGAGAATGATGATTATGAATATTATGATGATGAGGAAGAAAATTTTGAATTTATGGCTGTTGCTATGTAATTGAAGACGGTTTTTTTATTTATTTATTTATTTATTTTAGAAGGTCAATATATATTGTAGAAATTTTAGAAGTGATATATACTGATTAGAAAACCGTAATTCAAATAGAGCAAAGTCAGATAATTAAATTCTCTATCTCTAAATAGAGATAATATACTGTAATTCAAATTAGAGTATTTTTTTTTTGTATTGGTCTAGTATTGTATGCTTACAAAATTTAGAAAATTTTCTCATTATCTGACTTACCTTTTCTCATGTCTTTTTTCAAAATCATAATATAATGAGAATTTTATTATAATATTCAGGAAATTTTCAGGCTATTAACATCGCTATCGGGATTATAACAATTCAGGATTACGTTGACAGGATTGAGACCTGTCGGGATTTTGTACTATATAGACCCTTTTGCATACATACAGTATTTTAAAAAAGATCGTCTAAATTTAAAAAAAAAAAAATTGTTTTTTTGAGAATAATTAATAACTACAATACAAAAATTTCATTTGTGATTACATTTCAATAGATCCAAGTTGTATTTTATATAAATCAGCTAGATAAATTTTTTTTTTACTCACTAGCTTAGTTTTTCTTTTTTTTTTAATAACTGTTAGTGATTATTTGCTAGTACTTTTTAATCGTTATTTGTTAGTTTTTTTGATTATTATTTGCTAGTATTTCTTACTAATATTTCTTGGTTAATATTTGCTAGTATTTATTAATTATTATTTGCTAGTATTTCTTGATTATTATTTATTAGATGCTTCTTAGTTATCATTTGTTGGTGCTTTCTAGTCATCATTTTTTAGTTATTATTTCTAGCTATTATTTCTTAGTTATTATTTGTTGGTACTTCTTGATTATTATTTGCTAGAATTTTTAGTTATTGT